TGGGAACGGTCGAAAGTAAGACGGGCCTGCGTGCCCAGTTTGTGACCCTTTGAAAATAAGTTTCATTCGTTCGTTCTATGTGTCTCATGCTTACACCCCTTCTCCCCTTCCCCCTTTTTTACATATATGTACTTATAGCTTTCTATGTATCGGTTTATAAACATACTGGATTATCTCTGTCACATCTATTAGTCGACACATCAGACCTACCATTTCAACTTCTATTGTCAGCTTTTGTGTGTATATTCCTTGATTCATCACCTGACAACATCTAATAAAATAATGTATATCAAAACCCCACATCTCTTGGCTGCTCTGCTGGTTGTTGTCGCCGATGCCTGGACCCCGTGATCAGACTTCGAGGTGTCAGCAGACCTGAGAAACCCAACGGCTTTTACTGCCAGCCCTACTGCAGAAGGTAGGCATCTCACGTGATCTCTCGCATGCCCTCGTCAGTTAGACAAGACCTCATGAAATCTTCTTCTTCTTCTTCGCGTTCACCAGCTGTAAACTCTGGCGGAAAGTTCTGGTTGCTCGTCCACTACTGAACTGCAGTCCTGCTCCAGAATCTGAGTGTGTGTTGCGTGTGCATCAGTTTTACAGATCTTATTCTCTTGAATACAGACTGTTGGTTCCTTTCCTCTCCGGCAGATGCACTCCGACTTCAAAGGAAGCTCCCCATTTAGTCGACTCTTACGACATGCTTTTGGGGAGGCAGTGGGTCTATTCTTATTTTCCCTACAATGGGGCCCGGAACCCACACGGGGGATCTCATGATATGAAACCCCGTCCCAATGACTTGATGACTTTGAACTAAAAAAAATCGACACTGGGTAGACAGCTTAAACTTTGGAGGTCACCATAATATCTGAACACTGAACCTTACTGCCTGGACAATCTTGGGTATCGCTATGAGGAAAAAACAAAAAACTTTAGCAACTCTTTGGCATCTTCCCCAACAAACACATTGAAATCCACCATCTTCCCCAACAAACACACTGGTATTGTCAATTTTCCCCCAACAAATACATCGGTATTATATATGTGTATTATACATATGTGTGTGTGTGTGTGTGTGAGGTGTGTGTGTATGTGTGTGGTGTGAGTGGTGTGTGTGGTGTGTGTGTGTGTGTGTGTGTGTGTGTGTGTACACACTATTCACACAAAATATAAGAAGAAATAAATGCAAAGCTACTGAAACGAACATAATTATGATATAATTTTTACATTCAAAATCGAGGCAATGTATTGAGTAAAACTGTTTCATTTGTACACACAAGTAACTTAGGGTTCAAGCAATCCTGTGAGAATTCTTTTGCATCTGGGTCATCGATAGTTTCTACGCCTACAGCCTTTTCCCTCAACCAACAAAAACGCGCCTCGGAAACTGTGTTTTTAGTATAGCGACATGGTGGCATTAAATTAGTTTACTTGGGGGACAACGTTTTGGGAAATGGAGATCATCGCAGGTCGCTGACCTGAGTCTGAGCATGGAAAAATCGTGAACGCAGTACAAGTGGCAGGTAATTGCAGTGAGAACAATCTTTCGATTAACTAAGGTATTAATTTAACTAAAATTGGCATGTGATCAGCGGGCCATTAGTTATGCATCTGAGGGCCAGATTTTGCCTCCTGGCCGCCATTTAATAGCTTTTATTCAGGGCCTCATCAAGTCTGAATCCATCCCTCCTTCTGGCTATCCGAGGTTGATGCCGGCTTCCTAACCGTTTTGCTTGCTTTCATCTGACCACACCTGCTGATATGGGCGCCACACATTTACAATAAATCCGTTGGGAACATTTCTGCTGGTCTAAAGTGTGTCCATCATGTTTAGATATGTTATCCGTCTTTTGTGTTTCTGTTTTCCGAACCTCCTGTGGCGAATAGGTTATTAAATGTGTTTTGACAATTAAAATCTCGCATGTACCAAGGTTTGATTCCAGTGGCAAGGGGTTTGGAAGAAAACCACTCTTGTGACTCTTGGAGCCGTACGAGAGTTGCACTGTGGAACACAGCAGGACTAAACCACATAATGTTTTAAGTTACAGCAGAGGGCACATTGCAGTTTTGTATTCATAGTTCCTTGTACGGATTCCAGGGCCCCGTTGTCAGGAAAATAAGAATAGACCACTACGTCCCCAGCAAGCATGTCGTAGAGTTTACTATTTGACGGCATCATTAGAAGTTAAAGTGCATTTGCCTCAGAGGCAAGGACCCAACAGTCTGCCTCGCGGCACTTGGACATTGCTAGCTCTCCATTGGACGGCAGATGGGACAAGAGAGCGCACGACCTAGGGAAATCTAGAGAAGAACAGAAGAAAGGAAAATCGAAGGAATGTAGGATAATAGGAATTACAATGAGCAGAAAAGTGTCAGACGGACAACCGAGATCACTTATGGATGCCTTATGTATCAAACATCACATAAAGAGGACATATTTAGACAATGATAGATCCCACATATCGAGGACTAGCATCATATGCATGGAACTGACAGTCTGCATAAACTTAGTTCAGATCTGTAAACCAGATGTGCACGCAACACACAGGTTCTAGAACAAGACTAAATTTCAGAGGTCGATGAACAACCGGAACTTTTTCCGCCGCTTATTGCGAAGAAGAAGCAGAATGCCGAGTGGCGACAGCGCACAATTTTACCCCCGAGATGGTAGAAGAACTTCGCTGAAATTCTTGAAGTATTGTTTTATCACTTTAATATGTTATGACTGTAACAGCTGTGTGCTGTTGTTGGTTTGTTCATTCAGAAAGACTGGTCCAAAAGTTGACTTATGCCGTCGTGTGTGTGTCATGTTTTCGTCAAGTATCTGCTATTTGCTTTCCTGTGTTTCTTAAAGAAAATTTGTTTGGTGAAAAATCTCTTGGAGGTAATTGTTCGCGCATATTCGCCTAGAGGTTTCACTGGCGCAGTAAGTAACGTGCTGGACTAAAGGTTCATGTGGTTACGTGATGGAATCCAGTCCCAGAAAGACATGTTTGTTAACTGGTGTCCGAGGCCCCATAATGGGGGCAAAACAAGAAAAGACCTTCTGAAAACATGTCCCAACAGTCTCCATGTTCTAGCTTTCATCACGTGTGACAGTGAAGAGCATTGATTTTTATCTCAACAATGTACACCCTAAGTCTTGCGTGCCGCTTGAATTACTATTTCAAGTTTAGAGAATCGCTTTCATGACACACAGTTATCTGGATACAATCGCTTTCATGACACACAGTTATCTGGATACAATCGATTTCATGATACACAGTTATCTGGATACAGTCGTTTTCATGATACACAGTTATCTGGATGGAATCGCTTTCTTGACACACAGTTATCTGGATACAATCGCTTTCACGATACACAGTTATCTGGATACAATCATTTTCATGACACACAGTTATCTCGATAGAATCGCTTTCATGACACACAGTTATCTCGATAGAATCTAGTTTCTATTTATCTTGTTTGACCCATTGAGTGACTATTTATCACGTCTGACCCCGTTACTATTTATCATGTTTTACCTAGGGGCTATTTATCATGTTTGATATTCATACCACACTCAAATGCTTTCAAATATTTCTAATGTCAGTTTTACGTATATTATAGATTGAATTATTGACAATGCAGATTTATTTATAACCTTAACTGTTGTTTTTAGTTTACATATGTAATTTATTAATTCGTGTTCTTTCCTGTTGGTATATTTCACAAATGTAAATTTTTTTTTTCTGCACACTTATGTATGGATGTATAGTTTCGTGTGTCTTTCGTGTATTCATGCATTTATTCGCATAATTTTCCTGTGTGGTTTATTGATAAACCAAGCTGAATTTCTAGCTGCACTTTCTAAATATTTTCAGTACCTGAAATAATTCCGGTGATATTTCTTTGTGTATATTTAACATGTTGGTATATATTCATCTATTCCATACGTGTTTTTCCCATATATTAGCTAAACATTTCTTCTTTATGTATATGGTATCGTATTCTTTATCTGTCACTTATGTTTTCACACATTTTTGTTTCGTCACATGTCAGTATGTCTCTTTTATGTAGTTCTTGTATTTCTTGGCGGGCAGTTTGTTTTTCTAACTGTTAATTTGCAATTTAATCTTCACTGAAAACCGATCTACAGCCTTTATTTGGCTGGACAGGTTTGAAACAGGAGAACAACAAGTCAATGACATCTGTTTGCCAGGAATAGAAAGACCTGATCAATCAGTCGAAAAAGTAGTTTGTTATCCCTGCAACACACAGTATTTGGTACTATAAACAGACAGATGCATTTCCTGAGGAAAAACTGGTTACCTGTATGCCTATGTCACATGCCGGCGTCTGTGGCTTAGGGGTTGCGAACGCACTTCGTAATGCCGGGTGCCGGGTTCAAACCCTGCTGCGGGCCTTGCGCCTTGTGTTGTTTTGACGGTGGAATCGAAAAGCCGACCGTCCATAAAGCAATGGCAACAAACTGGTTAGTTGCGTATCCTTTACAGGACGTTGCAGAACCAACCCCAACAGCTCCTGGCTGTTGTGTGGTTTTTCTAGTCAAATTTACGTCCAGTAGTTTGCCATTGCCTACTGGACGGTCGGCTTTCTTGATATCACTGTCAAAACTAACACAAGGCCCATGGCCCGCAGCTGGGATCAAACCCGGCATCCCAACATTACGAAACGTTCGCATCGACTTAGCCACAGAGCCAACGGCAACAAACTACTGGACGTAAATTTACCTAGAAAAACCACAACAGCCAAAAAATGCTGGGATTGGTTCTGCAGCGTCCTGTAAAGGATACACAACTAACTAACTATGTCAGGTGACATAATTGAAGTTAAAACACAGCCTGGGTCTGATACTTGATGGGATGGCTTACAGTTACCTCCCAAGGGCTAGTTTAAAACCAACGACCTAATGGGTCGTGTTTCATGTTTAATACATAGTACCTTGGTTTGGCATGAAGCCATGTATCTAACTGAGGTAGTGACCACCTGTTCCCCAGCCTGGACAAGGAGAACTGCCTACGAGTGACCAGCAAGATTGCCGAGCTGGTTCTGCTCACGGGTGAGACCATCAACATCACAGATGCTTCCCAAGATCCTCGCATCGAGCAAGCGGTGAGCAACATTGTTTTGTGCCCAGTAGTCTAGTTTTTAGTTAACCCGGGTGTAGGTTCCAGGGGCCTCAATGCGCGCCCCTTCCCCGCCTCTTCTCCCACTAGCATTGCCTTAAAACGTGAGATATTGTGGTTTGGCGGATATTGAATGTATTAGACTGAAAGGGGACAGATATCGCAGCCTAGCTACAAACCATAATACAACGTGCCAATCACCCTTGTCAGGGCGAAAGCAGACAAAGATTATATTTCCAGTTTCAGTGTCCAACAGGCTCTGTCATGGTATGCAACACACACAAACGCGTCCACACCCCCACCCACACACACACACACACAATGTTGTGTGTGGTCTGGAACGACATATTGTTGGATGTGTTTCCACTGACCTAACTTACTCCCGTTGTTTACATGGTCTAGAATATATAAATCAAGTCAGTGAAGGACCATTTGAAGCCATTGCCTCATCTGATACATGGCGCTAGGAATTTCTCTACATCCATCGGCTCTCCATAGGCCCTACTTCGGCCCACCATAGGCCCTCCATAGGCCCTCCATCGTCCCACTATAGGCCCTCCAAAGGCCCTCCATCGACCCCCCATGGGCCATGTCGCCAGCATCTTCTGGTACCCATCTGAGACTGGGTCAAACCACCATTCATTGAGTGACAACTAGTCTACAAATATGGACGAGCACCATTTACCTTTGTTCCTTTCTTCACTTCTTCTTCACGTTCACCGGCTGCAAACTCCTTTGGAAATGTGTGGTTGTTCGGCCACTTCTGGGCTCTATTTTTGCTCCAGAACCTGAGTGTTGTATTCATATCCGTTTTACCTAACTAACTTATGTGTGTGCAGACTGTTGGTTCGTTACCTCACGGGAAGATGCACTCCGACTTTGAAGCTGTTCTCACAGACAGTAGTCGGCCTCCAGAAGCAGGAATCTGTAAAAGGGCTCATCTAAAAGCTACCAACCATGTAAAACCCGTCCCACTGTTTAAGTGTTGTTTATACATATCCAAAAATATGTTGTGTCAAAAACACTGCAGAGAAACCTCGTCAACACAAACATTCGTTTCACATCAAGAAAATACACCTATTCTGGAATTAGTGTTTACCAGATCTTACTGCCTTAGTTGTTCTCCATGTTTCCGCTCCATAAAAAAAGTACTGATTTGACATTAGAATTAAACAATTTTAGTTTAGTATTTCTTTTAAACTTACTAATTACTAATAAATTACAGACATTCATTAACTGTTGCCTGCACAGAATAAGGGGAATTAAATAGTATGATAGAATAACTAACGCAGAGCTTTGGGAGAGAAACTAAACAGGCTCATGTGAAACAAGAGGTGAGGAAAAGACGCTGACTCTAGATTGAACACACACTGAGAAAACAGGAGAACAGCATAACCAGAATGTCTTTGCATTGGAACCCACAGGGGCATAGGAATAAAGGAAGGCTAAAAAACACACGGAGAAGAGAGCAGAATAATGAAGTTAGAAAGATGGGGAGGACATGGGGAGAGCTCCATGCAATGGCGAAGGATAGAACGACTTGGCGTGAGTTGGTTGAGGGCCTATGCTCCATTGGGGAATAGAAAGGCAGAAGAAGAAAAGAAGATCTTACTGCATTATATTTATTTGCAGTTGGGCACACTTTATAAGTTTCCATCTGTGGAGATGGGTCTATTACTTTTACTTTTCCTTACACTGTTATTGTTGTTATGATTATTATAATAATTTTTCGACTCCTAGGTGGAACAGAGTTTAGTCCTGGGAAGTAAAGGCGGCCGGCGTGATGCTAACCACAAGATCCGCCGAGAGTTGATTGGTCTATACAGTATATGTCCAACTCTATGAGCCCATTACACCATATTATTATTAAGACATACTACAAAGCTGGGGCCTCCACGCCTCTCCCCAAAAAATGTGTCAAACTAGAGGAAAGGGGGGCGGGGGGGGGGTTGTCTTTGAGCACCCTCATGTTAACTTTGTGTCGGCGCACCTAGGGCTGGTGGCGACCATTGGCTCAGCTGTGAAGAAGTCTGGGTCTTGAACCACAAACTCTATCCCGTGCGACACTACACGAGTACCACTGGAGATATTCAAAGGATGTGCCTAAAATCTGTTATGTCGATTACACAATGAGCCACTTGATATCGCTGAACCTTTCCAGGTATTCCAGTGTTGTAGTGTTACAGTTGTCACTTTTCTATTCCCGAACCACCCAGGATGAGACTGTGAAAGGGGTGAGGACTCGCTCCGTGCTGTGTAAGCCGGTGAGAAACAGGCATCAGAACATAATTGGTAAGTGAAACGTACTACACTGACAAAGGGAAGATTATTAGGGTGTCAAACATATCACATTCACATTTATAATTCATTGGTAAGTGAAACGTACTACACTGACAAACGGAAGATTATTAGGGTGTCAAACATACCACATTCACATTTATAATTCATTGCTAAGTGAAACATACTACACTGACAAACGGAAGATTATTAGGGTGTCAAACATACCACATTCACATTTATAATTCATTGGTAAGCGAAACGTACTACACTGACAATAGGAAGATTATTAGGGTGTCAAACATACCACATTCACATGTACATTTCATTGGTAAGTGAAAGATACTGTATTCACAGTAACATACCATTGGTAAATGAAACCACGCTCCTAATAACATATCATCGGTTACTAAAGCGACACTCACAACATAATATCACTGGGGGATGAAACATTGCTTACTCGCTGAGTTGTAACTGGTTTATAGAAGTATGGGGTGCTAACATGTACCCAGTACGTCTTGAGAGAAAACTGTCGACGATACAGCTGACCAGCTGGCAAGTAAGGCACCAATACAAATGGCAACCAGAATGGACCGTGCTGATAACATCAACGCTGTACGGACTTGGTTAAGAATAAAGACGAATATCTGACGCTAAGACGACTGCGTGACCAATGAGTGAAGCTTGGTGAAGCTCGTCTATGCCGTCTTCGAGGTTAAGATATGAGGTACTATAACCAACTCCTCATGGGAGTGGCTGCTGCATCGGAGGACTGAGCATGCATAGGGATACCCAGTGTGCAAAGACGTCGATTGTGATAACATAGTATAACATAACATACGACGTCGAATATAGGAGACAAGAGTGGTATAAAACGTCGAATATATGAGACAATGGTGGTATAAAACTTCGGATATAGGAGACAATCGTCGTATAAGACATAAGAGGTCAGATGTAAGTTTTTTTTTTTTTTGCATTTATATTTATATACATCACGTCGTCGTCATCATCATCATCATCATTTAGAACCACTTCTACCTTTAAGCGTCGTAGGGATGAGCTGTTTGCGATCGAGTGCACGCTGGCTGACACTGGCTATTGTCATACCGTGAAGGTGTAAAGTGTCTTTCATGTTGTCGATCCATCTGTTTCGTGGCCATCCTCTTAGAACTGTAGCTGATTTTCTGAGATGTAGTGCTGGTGATGGTTTTTGATGCTCTGCTGCATTCTAACGAGATGGTGGAACCACTTAATCGGCTGTTTCTCGATGAATCTTGTACACAATGGTTTATTTACATTGGAGAGAAGACTAACAATCTACGCCCATTTGGTTCATAGCGACTGCACGAAACGTATGACCCCAAAAAGCCAGAAGACCAGTCTGTCCCACACAATCCTAAAGAAGTAGTACAAACTGGCATTCAAGACTGGAGTCGGATTGAGAAGATCGACTTGATTGCACCCATGCATTTTGGTCTCCCTCTGCAGAATAGCTTGCACAAAGCACTAACTCCGTAGTTCCGGTAACGATCCCTGAGGATTTAGGTTCTGGGTTAGAAAATTGCACCGGCGAACTGAACGAAGCGGCCACAAAACGAACCCACAGCCTTCACAGCTTGAGGTATATGCCTTGACCACTTCGTCGCGGAGGCCCCAGGCAGTAATAGTATGGGGTCGAGTTAGTGCAGTGTTTAGCGTATCTGACTACCGATTTGTGATCATGTGTTTAAATCGTCATTGCGGATATGTGGGAGGGGGAAAAAGGGGGGGGGTGAAAAACGGATCCTGTGCTACCAGGCTGATGCAGCTGACAATGGATGCTAGGAGATGATGTCGGGGAAGAGGAGGGGGGGGGGGGTGGTACCGACAATATCACCACTCGTGTTGCGGCTGCTCTATCAGAACATGAGGTTGCAAAACTTCTTGTATCGAATCGCTTCCGGACATCAAAGGAGATCGTCAGTTTATTTCCTTTAGAAAATGTGTATTTTGAGAGAGAGAGAGAGAGAGAGAGAGAGAGAGAGAGAGAGAGAGAGAGAGAGAGGGAGAGAGGGAGAGAGAGAGGTGAAGAAGAGCAGGGGAGAGTGACATTGAGAGGAGACGAGGGGAGAGAGCTCCCGCGGGAGAAAAGGAGAGAAGGGGATTGAGACAAATAATTATGAGAATGTGTTGGAGGTAAAGAGAGAAAATAATAGTGAGGAAGAAAGGGAGAGCGAGAAAGTAAGAGGCAGATAGACGGCGGGGGAGGGGGCGAGTGAAAACACAGAGACGTGGGTAGAGTTGAATGAAGAGGTGAGAGATAGAACAGAAATAATGTATGACGGAAGAAAGGTGAAGAGAATAGGGGGAGGGGTGGAGAGAGAGAGAGAGAGAGAGAGAGAGAGAGAGAGAGAGAGAGAGAGAGAGAGAGTTGGACCTTCGCTAACATTTAATTTACCATTGTGAGCATAAACTAAAATCCCCTCATGCACATAAGACGGCGAGGATGAGGGGTGGGTAGGGTGGGGACAGGGGCTTTCAATCGGCTCCCTATGACAATATCTGTCCAGGCAATCGATCGCCCTCAACCCGAATTGCTTTAGTGACCTCACGGACTTCCTGTGGCTCTGGGTTATTCCCTAGACTCTTGAAATATTGGTATGTTTCCATAGCAACGTTTATATAACGCATGCGTGCATACCCGTTGGTCGTTAACAGCTGTTGGAAGGAAGATAACCCATCATTTCGTCAACTGTGTATTTTTGTTTCCATTAAAGTTTAAACATTAGTTCTCATAATGGGTAATGCTGTCATATCACTTTACTATTTGTTTCGCGGAAACTACGTTACGTACTGGTAACATTGTACAAATTACTTTACATACCTAGATGTAGTCACAACTTTACACACCAATAAATAACTATATCGTATCTCATACGCAAGGTATGGAGTGCGTGGTCGGCTCTGTGGCTAAGTCGATGCGAACGCTTTGTAATGCCGGAATGCTGGGTTCGACCCCAGCTGCGGGCCATACACCTTGCGTTGGTTTCGACAGTGGTATCAAGAAAGCCGACAGTCCAGGAAGCAATGGCAATCTACTAGATGTAAATTTGCCTAGAGACAGGGACTGCTGGGTTGGTTCTGCAATGTCCTGTAAAGGATAAGCAACCAACCTTAGATGAAATGCGAATAACGTTACAGGCAATGTTGTAAACATTATTGTGTATATGGGGAAGAGAGTAAATACAATTTAATTGCCTATGCTTTACATAGAAGATATAGTTGTAATAGCTGAAAATGCAACTGATTTACAACAACTGCTGGATATTGTGGGGATGGAGAGTACTAAGAAAGGACTTTTATTTAAAATTAAGAAAACGGAAGGAATGGTTATATCAAAGAAGAAGATATTTCCACGTTGTGATATCTCAGTTGAAGGCAAAAGACTTAACCAAGTCAATAAATTCAAATATTTGGAAACAATCATTTCATCAGATGTGGCAGAGATTAAAAGCAGAATAGGTCAAGCGAAAGCTGCATTTCAGAAAATGAAAAATATCTTATGCAATAAATCGCTCTCATTCAATGTCAGAAAGACAGTGCTAAACTGTTACATAGAACCTGTTCTGCTGTACGTAAGCGAATCTGGGAATGTCAGTGAACAAATTAAGAAGAATTTGGAAGCAATAGAGATGTGGTTTCTGAGACGAATGTAACGAATACCTTGAACGACCAGAGTAGCTAACAACGATTGCTGCTTGAAAGAGGCTTATGAAAGTAGATACCTATATAAAACAATAAGAAATAGACAGACACTGTTCTTTGGCCACAGAGATGATGCTGGATGGGCTGAAACTGTGGCATAGAGGGATATCATCAAGAGAGCTGTTCCAAGCAACCAAGGATCGGGACTTGTGGAGACGCATAAGCGCCTACGCCAGTTGGCAGGGAACATCATGATGATGATGATCCTTTACAGAACGTTTGCAGAGCCAACCCTAGCCATTTTTGGCTGTTGTGGTTTTTGTTTTTCCTATGCTCATTTTACGTTCAGTAGTTCGCCATTGCTTACTCAATCGTCAGCTCTCGGTATCATTGTCGCAACCAACGCAAGACAAATATTCTGCACCTGGGATCGAACCTGGTACCCTGGCGTTGCGAAGCGCGTTTGCTACACCTAAAAAACAGACGCCAATGGAGTAGAGTAGCGTGTATATATTACTTTATATAAGGAAGCGGAGTCTATAAATAACTGTGTACATTGTGTAAGGCGTGTATATACTACTTTATATAAGGAAGTGGAGTCTATAAATAACTGTGTACATTGTGTAAGGCGTGTATATATTACTTTATATAAGGAAGTGGAGTCTATAAATAACTGTGTACATTGTGTAAGGCGTGTATATATCACTTTATATAAGGAAGTGGAGTCTATAAATAACAGTGTACATTGTGTAAGGCGTGTACATATTACTTTATATAAGGAAGTGAAGACTATGAATAACTGTGTACATTGTGTAAGGCGTGTATATATCACTTTATATAAGGAAGTGGAGTCTATAAATAACAGTGTACATTGTGTAAGGCGTGTATATATTACTTTATATAAGGAAGTGGAGTCTATAAATAACTGTGTAAATTGTGTAAGACGTGTATATATTACTTTATATAAGGAAGTGGAGTCTATAAATAACTGTGTACATTGTGTAAGGCGTGTATATTTTACTTTATATACGGAAGTGGAATCTATAAATAACTGTGTACATTGTGTAAGGCGTGTATATATTACTTTATATAAGGAAGTGGAGTCTATAAATAACTGTGTACATTGTGTAAGGCGTGTATATTTTACTTTATATACGGAAGTGGAATCTATAAATAACTGTGTACATTGTGTAAGGCGTGTATATATTACTTTATATAAGGAAGTGGAGTCGATAAATAACTGTGTACATTGTGTAAGGCGTGTATATATTATTTTATATAAGGAAGTGGAGTCTATAAATAACAGTGTACATTGTGTAAGGCGTGTATAT